GGCCTTATTTTGCTTGTAATATTTTGTGAACAAAAGATATTGTTGCTCATCATGAGGGCACTAATGAGGATAAGTAGTGTCGTCAAACTGTAAATAAAGAATTGCTTGCAGGTATCGAGGAAGTGTGATATGTCTGGAAATGCGAATTCAATATTAAGGGAAGCAATCGGTAGAAGTATTTCGTGTCCAAGAGTGAATGATAGTTCCATAGCGGTTTGAAGCCGTTCACGTAATTGAGTGTTCCTTGCAATTCGAAAATCGTGATGTATGTTCCGCATTGTGCTCTACATGTTTCGTAGACGCGGGCCTTGTTGAAGAATAAAAGTACTTGATTATGGGTTCCTTGTTTTGTACACGACAAAGTGAATTGTTGGAGGCCACAGGTAATTTGAGCAGTGGCGTGCATTACGTCTGATTCACAGAAGAGGGTTGCTATTGAGCCCTTGACACAGTTATAACAGCCGAGCAGTTGTTGGGGCAGTATTCGGCACTGAAAATTTTGAAATTCCTGTGTGATTTCTTGCAGGGCATGGTCGAATGTAATTGCTGTCTGTACTGAGACTACTCGTGTAGAGATTGTAGGCACACTGTTCATGCCTTGTACGGATACTAATCCTTCCTGTATTGGTAGAGGAAAGGTGTTCTGTAATTGTGCTAGTCGTGAGACATTGTTATTGGTACAATAGCAGCTAACGGAGTCTTCTGCAGGATTGCAGTGACATGTGTCTTTGATTATACAGTTGGTATGGTTGTGGGTGTGGTTGGTATGACGTGGGTCTGAACTGCATGCATAGCTGAATTCCGGTGTCTTGTGGGATATAGGCTGTTAACTTGTTATTAGTGAAAAATCGTTGATTGAGTAATGAGATTGGCGTGAATGAGAATGAGGTGACTTCAATTGAGACGTTGTTGATTTGTTTGGTGGTGTAAGGTTTCAATTCAAAGGTATATGATCGGTGTTTCGGATCATGAAGTTCCACCTGAAGTGATATGGTCTCGAACCACGAAGGGCATTGGAAGACTTCGTAAATGTCATCGTCTACTGGGACATGGTAGATTCTGTAAAAAAGACATCCTGAGGATGGGTAGCCGCAAGAGCAGCCTAGACCGCCGCAGGATTCAGAACAGTATGTTATTCCGGTATAGTTATTAGCTTCGTGTAACTCACTGACTAAAGTACTAAAGGTAATTTTAGCGCATTTAAGACCCGTGCAAGTGCCCATGTGAGGACACCGTTTTTGATATTGTACTTTTGTAATCGTATTTCTTGTGAAATATAGTGTTTCTCTACGGCATCGAAGAATCAAAGGGCCCAAGACGATGCGTAAGTAGTGTATTCGGTGATTTCCGTGTTGGATCTGAATGCATAGTTCGGGTTGCATGGGGTTGAGTTGAGCAATGAGTGTGGTATGATTGGAGCGGTTCGTTTCTTGTCGCTCGTCAGTTCGTTTGGAGCAGTTCACACTGCATAAGCAGTTTGATATCCGCGGATAGCTGTGTCAGTTGTGTATTGAGTGCAGTAAGGTCCTCGCGGATGGAGTTGATTTGATGTGCCATATATATGTCGTTCCTCTAAAGAATGGAGTCATAGTAGTGGGGAAGAAGTAGTGGGTCCTATATAGTGTAGTAATAGTTACCTGAAGCATTTGAATTGTTGTGGTTTGTTCCATCAGCAATTGGTGGAGGCCCCTCAGCATCATATTATTGTGGTTGATTAAATCACGCGTCGTTGTCGGCGGGGTCATAGTCTAAAACACGGATAGTAGAAACGCGCATCGTATTATGTAGGGGAAAATGTCCTTGACAGATAGACACAATATTAGTAGGGTGCAGTACTTGTATGGTAATAGACATCATCAGTACGACATTAGTATAAATGGACATTGTATCATAGTTTAACATGGTAATTTAGGTGAGAGAAGTCCCTGAGTGCTCTACTCTGGATGGATGATGACTACTGGGGGTTCCCAGTAGAAGAAAAGGAAGAGAGAGTATCGTATTTGGTAATAAAAAGAGTTAGTGTCAAACTAGGAAAAAAACGAATTGGGCGGACAGTGGCCATCTGTGTAGTGTCACTGAAAGAAGACTGTGCTGGGTAGTTTTAAAAAAGGGGAGGGGTTTAGCACTTAATGTATGTGCCGTGGGATATGGTCTTGTTCGATGAGCTTGATCTGATAAGAGTCTCAACAACTCCTAATTGATCGATGTAGAAAGGGCATAGTATTCGAGATGTAGTTGAAAGGAAGTGAAGTTACGAATGTTTGGAGTAGATATATTACTATCAATAGAACGGTGTATAGTTAAAGTAAAAAGTTATAGTTCTCTTCCTGGAAAATCTGGGTCAGCCATAATTTAATGATCTTGTAGTTTTAGTATGTGGAAAGAAATGTAAATTGTAAATGCATGGATTGTGTATCGTAAATATAACGGTGTGTGGTGCGGGTAGAATAAAAAGGTAGGTTTCTATTTCTGTAGTATCTGGGCTAGCTGTAGTTGTAGTATTTTTGTAGGTTTAGTATATGGTTTGTTGGTGACAGGTCAAGTTGTGATTTAATTGGTCTTATATCAATTAGTCATGCTTCTACATATCGACTCGGTCAATCAATGCATCCGCATGTATTGTGCGCATGCGCTAATATTGTTGTTTCGCGCGGCTGTCGGCATGACGGCTTCTGATGTGGGTTGCTCCATAATGTAAGAGCGTGGTGCGTTGACAGTTGGGATGCGTATGCTCAGATGAGATTGCGCCATGCGCACGAAAGGAATGGAATAATGGGCGCAGTGGTTGATTGGTCTGTTCTTATGTGCATTGAGAGGAATCTCCGTGTATTGCTTTTGAGTAGATCCTAGGTAACATCCGATTTGTAGAAGAGGTGTAAGACCGGAAACTCAAGTTTATAGTATCAGAAGAAGGTAGTAAGTTAGGGGATTGCCCATTGAACTCACGCGTACT